GGATTGGTGCTTACTCAAAGTATGGCTTTTGGTATAAATTTTCATTTGGTACCAACAATGATTATGAGAAGGTAAGAAGTGATTTTTGCAGATTAATTTTATAATAATATACATAAATATACATTTCAAACAATTCTTTAAATATATAATTAATTAAAATTCATTAAGTTTATTCAATTCAATAAATACAATCATATTTTAGCATTAATAAGCTGATTTTATATGAAATTAAGCTGATTTCATTTAGTTATTTTCCTTTTTTTTTTTTAATTAACAGGTGGTTGCACGAGCATATGAGAGTGATTCATATAAATTGGATTATAATTCGCTAAATGTATGGCAAACAATTCCTAGCTGTGATTATCGATTTATTATTGCTAAAAATCAAAGTAAAACATTTTTAGTATTTATTATTAAATTTTTATTTATTTTCTTATTCTTTTGAAAATATAATATGAATAATTATTTTGAATTATTGTTATTTAAAAAATAAATTTTTGTTGTTTTTTCTTCCTTTCTTTTTGCATCGTTTTAGATTAATTTTAATTTTTAGATCATTTTTTCAGGTCGATTTTATCTTTTTTTTCTATTTTTCTAATTTTTACTTTTTAATTTTGTTCAATTTCAACAGCATATATGAATTGTATACTTTTCTAATTCAAAATTTTTGAATTCATTCAAAACTTTTAAGCAAATTATTGATAAATTTAATAATTATCACTTTCTTAATAATTCATTTATTTCCATTTTTTCCCCTCTCTCTTTCTCTCTCTCTCTCTCTCTCCCATTTTTCTTTTCTTATATTGCAAAAAAAAAAAGAAATAGCAATGTAATTAATTATATTAAATTGTGATAAATAATAGAAAATAAGCAGAAAAAAAAAATTGAAAATTTTATTGCATATAAAAAAATTAAATTTTTTCGTTTTTTTTTTTCAAATTTTTTTTTCTCAAAAAAAAAAAAAAATAAATTTTTGACAGTTTTTTTTTTTGTTTGAAATACGAATGAAAATGAAATGTTACTGACATTTTTGAAAAATTATCAAAAAAAAAAAAAAAAAAAAAACAAAAAAACGAGAAATACTACTAAGAATAAACAATTTCATCAATTTATTTAATTATTACTCCAACTTACATCCAACTAACACTTCAACGTTCCGTTGCACTTACTCATTTGCTCTGAAAAATAGGTGATGAGCCAGTCGGTAGCATAGTAATTGCATACTGCCATGATGTGACAGTGATCGGTGTTTACTATGTGATCGAAGAGTACCGCCATTCGGGCATTGGAAGTAAACTTTTTGACGAAGCATTAAGAAATGTTAATCAGCGGCAAACAGTCATATTTCATTCAAGTAATTTTCACTTCCATCTGTTCTTTTTTGGATTGAAAAATTGAAAAAAAAAAAAAAAAAGAGAGAAAAGTGAAAGGAAAAAAAAAAATAAAAAATAAAACGAATTAAAAAATGTTAAATAATAGGGAAAAAAAAATAAAATTAAAATATTTGAATATGTAAACATTAATGTAAACGTTTCCACTTTTTTTTCTTATGTAATTCTTTTGTGTATGAAAAAAATTCAAAAAAAATAAAATAAATACAAATAAAAAAATTGAAATATTATTTAAATAGTATAATAAATTGTGAGAATAATTTTATTTCAAAAATTTACTAACTATTAAAATATTTTTTAAAGTTTATTTTTAATATTTCATATGTATATTATTTGTATTTTTGTTTAGCTAATTTATTTTTTCTCACTTTCTTTTTGAACCTATTTTAATATTATTAGCTTGAAAGAAGTTAAATTTCAATTTATATTTACAATTATTATAAGACAAATGACAAAAAAAAAATAATTCTTTAGCTAATTAATCAAACATTTTCGTCTCCTAAAATTTTGAACTGTTTTCTATTTTCTATTTTTTTTCAATTTGATTAATTTTGCTAAATATTCACAGTTCATATTTATTTAGTGTCACATTTGGCCAATAAATGTCATCGTTTTGGTTTGGTGACAACATTCTCGCAGCAATGGAAATTTGCCACATATGAAATTAGCAATCCATCAGCATTTCCCACACTTCAAGTATTTTACTACTTTAAAATTATTTTCATTCATTTATTTAACAATTTCGATCAATTAATTATGAGATTATTTTGAAATGAATTAATTATATCAATAAATTTATGTAAATTTTTTAGAATGAAAAATTTACAATCATTCGATTTAGCAATCTTTCGGAAGTTGAACTTATAGCATTGCTAAAATATGACAGTAATGTGACACATTTGAAACGAAATGTTTGGCTAAAGGAATGGCTTAAACAAAAGAATTACAATACTTATGTGGCTTTTCAACAAGTATTCTGCTTTTTTTGATTGAATTTTGAATTATTTAAAAAATTTTTTGTCTTTTTTTTTTCTGATAACTTTTTAGGAAATTTTTTTTTTTTTTGTTTGTCTTCGATAAACTTTGTTCGATGTGCTAAATCTCTGCTAGGATGAAGTGATCGGATATGGATGTTCGAGAGAGACAGCTGGAGGCTATGTACTGCCAATATTAGTTGGACCACTTTATGCTGATAATTTTGAAGTTGCCAGTGCTTTACTTTATGCTATATTGGAGAAATACTATGTAAATTTGTTTATTTATTCATTGAATTTTCTCATTTGCTTTTCAATCTTTTAAAAATTTTAAATTTTATAGCAAAAATATTATTTTTGAAATTTTTATTTGCCCTATGATTAATAATGTTTTTTTTTTTTTTTTTTTTTTTTTTTTAAATTTCATTACAGAAATAATTAGCTCAAATATATGTATTTTTTGTAAAAAAAAATTTTCGAATTTTATTACAAAAATAATTGGCTCAGTGTGTTAATTTAAAATATTTTTTTTGAAAAATTAAAAATTTTATTTCTGTAATTAATGATTAGATGCAATTTTGAAGGTTAATTTTTTGAAAATTATTTTTTTCAGAATCCGGATGATGATTATGATTGGGATCCGGATATTTTTGCAATATACAGAAGGAATGTGTATTTTGTAGTACCAGATGAGAATATTCAAATGATAGAATTAATGAAGAAATTAAAAGGCGAAACAGGAATACTTAGAAAAGAACGATTATGCTATATTGTAAGTATTTTTCATTTTCTATTGTATTAATTATAAAGTTAAAGTAAATTTATTATTTATAAGGAAATCAACGTTCGATAAAAAATTTGTAAATTTAAAATGATAAAGAAAAGAAATAAAGGAGAAAAAAAAAATGGTAATTTAGCAAAGAATATATTTGGCTAATTATTTTCTAATCCATTTATTCATCTTAAACAGGAAAAAAAAAGAAAAAAGATGACTGACTAGTTTTGTTCATTTTATCAATTTTGATAAAATTTAATTTCGCTAATTAATTTCGAGACTTTCACATCCACCTTTTCATTCTTTGATTCATCTCTTCAAGTAAACCTCCTTTAACACTCAAAAGTTTCTTCTGACATATCAATAATAATTTGTTGCTCAAAATTCACTTCTTTCTGTTCTCTCTCTCTCTCTCTCTCTCTCTCTCTCTCTCTCTCTCTTTTCTTCCTTCTGATAAATTGCAATGAAGTATAACGTCTATTGCTGTGTTAACTAACATCCATTAATTTGCTTGACATCTTTAGAAATACGTCACAAAAAACTCAGCGTTAAGTGAGTGCTCACGTGATCTATCTACAGATCACGTGAAAACTATTCACTTCAATAACTAACTATCAAAAAAGAATGATCAAATCAATTCAATGCTGATCAATTTTCATACAACGTCATCATATATCTTATCTCTCTCTCTCTCTCTCTCTCCCTCTCTCTCTCCGTCTTTCTCTCTCTCCTTTTCATTTCACAGAGTGAAAGGGAGGAAAACAAAGAAAGATTGAGAGACGATAAGATAGGGAAATTAAAATTTTTCTTAAACATTTGATAAAAAAAATTTCCTTGTAAATGCATTACCGAAAATACAATTTAAATGATTCATTAAGGTCAATAATGTTTGATTGGAATTATGGAAATAATATTTTAAATTAATTAACTTTCACTTTCAGACACAAACAACGAATACTTTGCCAAATGTTGATTTCAGTAAAATTTTCTCCGTTTCCGATATGCATATGTCCGTTATATAATATAAGGGCTTAATTGCCCTTACCAGAAATATTTCTTTCCAAACATTACTTTAATTTAACCAGAAATTTGTCATTTTACATAATCATTTCACATATGAATAAAAATGGAATGCCAAAAGTTTGAATATACTTTCTTGCTGAATCATTCTCATTGTGATTTAATTGCTTGAACAAGGACAAAAGAATTTTTTAACTTGGGAGCAACTCGAATTATAGTGGTTAAGAATCCACTTTCTCAATATAATCAATGAAAATTTTTTTATAAATTTGGAAAAATTTTCACTTTGCAATTCTTCAGTGCTCTTAAAGTAGCAACGAGAGTAACAGCTAGACCGAAACATTTATAACAAAAAGCAAACAACATGCATTATGACCGAAAACAAAAAACAATCACAAAGAAAATATCATAACCTAAAAAAATAAATCAACGTAATTGGAAAGCCAAGAGGTGAAGTGCACCGTAAATTTTGTAACTAAAAGATTATATTATAAAAGATTATGAATCTTAAAAAATCTCATATAATAGTTAAGAAGCCAACTCCCTGCACCAAACATTTATCTCAAAAAGGCCAGGCAATCTAAGATAACACATGATGAGCATACAACAAAAGTCGCCAAAGTTAAATAAGAACGAAATAAACAACTCTTAGATCCAAATGGTAAATTATCAGAGCTAAGGAAGACAGACAAATCATAATAGCGCCAAGATATTACACTGTTGCATAAATAATCCCGCAAAACTAGTTATTATTTAAGAGCCAAGAGATAAAACAAAAGTGATTAAAGTTATATCCCACCAAGAAAAACCACATCATGGCAAACAAGTTTATTCCCAATTTTAATCTATATCTAGAAAGAAGTAATTCCCACTCTTCTTCTGTTCCATATCTTTTACAGAATCTTTTTTGTTAATACGTGGGCGATAATTATCCTTATCACGTCGAAATGTTATATCCAAAAGTCGCAAAAACCGGTTCATACCTTCCAAAAGTGACTGAGGTCTACAAAACAAAACAAAAATAAATTTGAAATTATTATTAGAAATTGTGATCTTTTCTAAGAAATTAAAAAAAAAAAAGTGCTTTGAAAAACTAACGATTGTGCGGTAGCTGACTTTGACGGTATACCTTCAAAAACTATTACACGATCAGCAAGATAAGTTCCCATCAAGAAATCATGCTCAACAACGAATGCGGTCTTTTTGGCATGCAGTATAAACCTGTCGATTAAGTGGAATTACAGTAAGCATACATTATGCTTTATTTAATGTTAAGTCATTCATAATCATAGTAAGATCCAACATTACAAAAAAAAACTCTTTCTTTTGAAATAACTTTCAACTTCTATTTACTGAAGTTAAGTCATATTTGACCAAACCATTTTGCATAATCTTTTTACTAAAGAATACATAGTTTTTGCTTAATGTTTCTCGTTATAAATCATGATGACAATATTTAATGGATTGATGTAACTACAAGAAATTAATGATATTAATCGGAATTTAAATTTTAAACATACCTTTTTATAACTTTGGCAGCATGCAATCGTTGTTCTGAATCAAGATATGCACTTGGTTCATCGATCAGATAAACATCAGCTACTTTTCCAAGACATAAAGCTAGTGCAACTCGTTGTAATTCACCACCGGATAAATGTTGCACCTACGAGTATATTGAACTTTGACTGTTATTTTCAAACGCATTTTATAAATTAATTAAATAAAAAACTATCGTATTACTTCGGCAAAACTTATAGATACTGAAATAATACAGTAGTATAAAATAAAATGTTTAACACTTAAGACAAATTATTCCTCACTGAATGATTGTTAGGGAGTAAGGTTGTGAATTCAAGTTTTACGAAAAGTAATTCTGAGTACACAAAACAGTGTAAAGGAAGAAGCTTTACTTCAAGGTTCAGTAAATCATCGATCATTAGTGGTGATAAAACATCCGTCTTAAATTGTGCATGATTAACCATATCAGGTATTTTTTCATATAAAAGATGTCGCACGGAACACTGTGATTTTGGACTAATCTTTTGCGGTTTATAAGATATATTTAGCCGCGGAATTTCTGTTAAATCATCATCCACTTGCAAATTACCAGCAAGAATCCTAAAATATTTCATAAAAAATATCATGAATTTTTTTTTTTTATTTTAAACCTAAAATCCTGAAATCCAAGAATAAAATTTTTAATGAATGTATTTCGATCAGGAATGACTTATCAAACGAGATAAAAAATTTATATTAACTTTTCCCGAATGATTGCAAAAAGTTTTTCAGTATATCTGAAGAAAAAACATCTGAACATTTCTGTGAAAATGACTGTCACCTACTACAAAAATACGTTTGTGACGATAGCAAAAGCTTATAAAATTGCAATTAGTCAATGATTAAATCTTTTCCATTCAGGAAAGTCAACATTCGTTTCATTAATTCACCAAAAAAAAAAAACCTAATCATTGTTGTCTTTCCAGTTCCATTTTCTCCAAGCATAACAATGATTTCAGAATCAGTAAATTCACCACCTTCAACTTTTAATTCAAAATTTCCTATATGCTTAGTGAATGATGGATATGTATAACGAGCTGTTCGTTTGACCACTTCTTTCTCCGCTTGATCAGTAACTTTGAAGGATAACTCCGAATCTCTGCAATGTTCAAATTGGAAAAAAGAAAAAAAAAGACATGTGCATTCTAAATTTTCAAATTAAACATTATACCTGAAACGCATGTTTTCAGTTGGAATGAAGCCATCCAAAAATATATTAATACCTTCCCTAACACCAGATGGCAGTGTTACAACACCATAAACACCTGGCATACCATAGAGACAGCATACATAATCAGAGAGATAATCCAGTACAGCTAAATCATGTTCTACGACAATGACATAACTGAAAAAAAAGATAATTTAACCTTAAGAAGTTTTAAAGACCTACTTAGCATTTCTAAAATACAAGGTTAAAAAAGAAATACAAGATAAAAGAATATCTAACATAGTTAACGACTAAATAACAAAATGCTCATTTTAATTAGATCACATGAAAAATTAGAAATTATGTTTTTATACATGCTAAAGAGAAAACTCACTTATGTGGTGTTACTAAATCTCGAATAATTTTAGCTGCTTTTAAGCGCTGTTTCACATCTAAATAACTGGATGGCTCATCGAACATGTAAACATCAGCACGCTGCACAACGCACATCGCTATTGCAAAACGCTGCAATTCTCCGCCGGATAACTGATCAAGCATTCGGTCTTTGACACCAGTAAGCTCTGAAAAACGACATTAGTTGTTGGAAAACACAAAAAACAAAACAGGAACAAAGAATCAAAATTCTCAATAAGTTAATAAATAAACTTTAGAAGATTTTTTTTTTTAAAAAAAAAACAAAGTTCCTTCAAGGAAAAGGTTATACCTAACTCTTCGTAAATTTGCAACAAATTTTCTCGATCGCACTTTTTTATTAATAATTCTTGTACCTGTCCTTTCGCTGCCCTGCAAATTTAAAGTATCTCAATAAAATAAAATAAATGAGAAGTAATTTCCTTCTAAATTTCTTCTTATAAATCATTTGAAAAACCGCTTAAATCTTTCCAATTGTGAACAATACACTTATTTACATCTACCTAAAATAATGATAGAGTTTGAGATACGAACTATTATTTCATATTTCGCACTTAGAGTGAGATATAAAGAAGAGGGAAATATTTTTAAAAAATCAGCAAGTAACAAGACGGTGCAGATGAATGATCTGCGTCTAAGCAACAATGTCATCATTGTTAGAAGAGAAAATAACAAAAAAAAACTACATACTTTGGAATTTGATCAACATATTGTGGCTTTGCAACGGCTTTCAAATTGTCTTCTAATATTTTTGTGAAATAATTTTGCAATTCTGAACCACGGAAGTAGGACAAGATTGATGGCCAATCAGGTGGAGACTGCAATAACTTATAATAATTTGTTTAAGCTGAGATAATCATAAATTATTTCTTGAAAATCCATAACCAAAATTGAAAATTCATGCAGATATAAGGTAAAATAAATTTCGACAACCACTGTGTTTCTGAAAAACAAGGAATTTCGAAATAAATGAGTCAGTAAATTATATTCCTATCACTTACCTCAAATTTTCCAAGATTGGGTTTTAATTTTCCAGCCAAAATTTTTAATGCTGTCGATTTTCCAATTCCGTTTGTGCCAACAAGACCTAGTACCTAAAGAATTACGTTTACATCCTTGATGAAATCAATAAAATATCTTCAAGCAAAAACGACAGAGCACTACTATGAATGTCTTAATGGCAAAGATTTATAATCATGTGTCACGTTTGTTGAATATTTGAATGCTTCCATATTTTCAAAAGTTATTCAAATATCACTTTAAATATGACTAATGCTAAGACTACTATTAATCAGTCAGTACACAGTTTTGAAATAGTTCACAAAAAATTGCTAAAAATATATTAAAAAGAAACTTCGCCAGTACGTGGCGTTGGTAAACGATGCAGTTTGAAGGAATTTTTACTGAATCGATGAGTTGTATCTTTGGCTAAATTACTCGGCAAATTTATAATTTTTATTGCCTCATAAGGACATTTCTGAAAAGAAAAAAAATGGAGAAAAAAATTATAATTGCAAGCAATGATTCAGTAGTACTAGACACACAAAAAAAAAAGCTATTCGATAGATTGTTGATATAAAGTGCAAATCATTTTTAAAATAAAGCTATAAAAGTAAAGGCTAAAATTATCAGCAATTCGATCAATGACCTGCATGATTTTTGAAATGTTTTCAGATAAAATGATATTAAATCATGACATTACAAACCACTTCGGAAAGCTTATAATTAGTGCACTCGTTAAAAAACTTTTGAATGTAGAAACATTAAAATAAAATAAACAAAAAGATAAACAAAGTTGGTTAAAAATCGGTTCACTCTCAATAAATCCTGCTCAAATATATTCAGTAAATTTAGTGATATATTATGGACCAATATGTTCCTATTTATTATCAAATTTTATAGCACGAATGTTTATCAATTTCATTTGCTACAAGAATAACTGCCCACAAATCACTCACTTACTGATATTACATTTTTTTGAACAATAACTGAACACTAAAATATATTTAGGATTTAAGTTATTCAGAATATGCACTAAAAATGAGTGTTAGATGAACAGAAGTTTTCAAATTAAAAATTCATAAAGAATATCTAAAACAACGCACCTTCACACAGATACCGCAACCAATGCATAAAGTTTCCGATATTTCCGCCATTTTAGAATTGCTTTCCACGACAATGCACTGCTTTCCTGAATTTTGAAACTGGTATGATAAAAAAGCAATCAGCAAAGTAAAGCATGTTAAGTATTTGTAATCTTTTTATTATGCATTTACTATGATGAAAATATTTTATAAAACGTATGTTAGAGTCAGATCACTCAGCTCATCCATTATTAGCACCCTAATTTTAAAAATCCGCTAATTAACGAGCAAATTTGATAATAACTTTATAATTGACTAACCTGACAACAATATGAAGCTATAATATACAATTAAAATCTCAAATTTACATCCGGAAAACTATTTTGCTCAATTTTCTTCGTAAGCAATAACAATAAAAAAGAAAAAATACCCATTCGTACAACAGGACATGATTTCTTGCATGCAAGTCCACAATTTTTTGGTTTACAACGATCCTTCTCGACGATGGCAATGCGTGTCATCTTATCCGTCTCCTCTTGTTGCTTCCGCAAACGATTCATTCTGCCTTAATATAATCTTGTTATCCGGGAAGTAACGAACATTTCTCCCATCTACTTCTTACTTGATTGTCTGTCTCATATTTTTTTATTATTTGTTAAATTTCTTAAGAAATGGAAAAAAAAGATATCTAACATCCATTTCACTCACAACCATCGCTCTTAATTGTATAACCTATACAAATACGTTAGCATAACATACAAAGTTATAAGTTGGACTTGGGGATATATAAACCTGTCAGATATTAGGATAGTTACAGACACAACAGATTAGCTGTTTTAAAACAATCCCCAAAACAATTTGGGATCGCAATGTTTTTTTTCTTTTTTTCGAACTTTTCATTACTACCAAGAAATATGCTCTTGAAATTTTTTTAGTTCATAAGCATAAGCATAAGAGGCGTAATTCCATCATTCTTAAACGCTCAACTCTGATCTCAAATTTCATAATCAGTGTACAGTTACTAAAATTTTTAGACAATAAGTTACTAACTTTCGAGCGGATATATACGAAGTAATGGCATCACACCATTAACAGAAAATAATCATCTCGTAGATTTCATAAAATCATGATGGGAAAAAAAAGCAAATATACTTAATCGAAAACGATTTTAATTATTAGTTGAAATTCATAAATTACAACTGTTTGCATCGTCAACAATATGAATCCAAATTATTTTGTCACAAGCTCGATAACCAAAACTAGTCGAAAGAATCAAAGTCATAAAAATAGACTACACTCCATCAAATTCTTCAAGATTTCCAACATAAAAACGAAATAAAAAGCATATGAAAAAAGAAAGAGGAAACAGAAAAAAGAAACCATACTAGCTGCAAAACTATGAAGAAAATCTGACTGTACACAGTAATTATTAATTTGAAAGAAGAAAGTGAAACAAGGCAAAAAGCAATTGAAAATGAAGAATCCCTTCTCATCTCTTTTCCGGAGCATAAAAAACGAAAAAAAACCAAATCCTATGTGAAAAGAAAAAAACGTGAAAGCACCATAGTACCTATCATTTCCTAAAAATAAAACGAAGAGAAGAAAGAAACATTATTAGAACAAATAATTTGAAAAAAAACCAAATCATTCTATAGTTTCTATGGAAACACGATTTTTCTGTTTCATTGAAAAGGCAACGCAGAATTTTTTATCATATTCATTTGCCAACTCTACCATCAATTCCACAAATGGATCTTTGGAACGACCAATAGCTAACAATGCATGTTTAATCTTGAGAAGAGTGGCCTGAAAAAAAGCTTTTTTGAAAAAAAAAAAAAAAAAAACTTTTACAATTACATATGTAAATTTAAATTATAAAAGGTATGGTGAAAAATCATGAACTTCTGTATTTCATTTATTTATAACATACTTTATTTATTTCCTGCACGATTACTGAAATTGACATTTATGTAAATCAATCCTAACGTCTCTGCATTATAACATAAATATAGTATACGTATTGAGCTTTAAGCAATAAATAAAATTCTGCTGTGACATAATTTTCATAACGAACGAAAAAATGCTGAAAATAACATACTGAAAAATTGTGAATTAAACTCCAAACTCTATTTTCACTAATTCCGTTATCGCGTTCCAATGCTTTTTTTGACTCCAGACGCCAAAAATCGACTGCATAAGCATTCAAGTATACCTAAAACATTGTATTTTACAGATTTTAAGAATTAAAGTTGATGACAAAATGTCTAAATCAACTTTTCTACTGAGATACAGCGGAAAGAAAAAAGAAAATGTTAAATATGCATTAAATTTAAAGATGCAGTTGAACCTAAATAAAGCTGAAGCAAACAAATCACTCGTTTTCGTGGATGCATTTATTCAAAGAATTGCACACTATTTTGATCATTCAATCATAGTTCAGTACAACTTATAAATTTGTTGTTTACCGAACATTAAAGTTCATTCTCAGATTTGTCAAACGATAAAAATTTCATAAAGAAAGTCGAAAAAAAAAAAGAAATAAAAAAACCCTTACTTTTCGACCACGATGATCAACTGGACATGGACAGCGAACTGGTATAAATGATTCATCAAAAAGCAAACAATCATGGAATGGATGAACAATACTTGATGAGAACACTGAAACTGATGAATCCGTGTAACCTGTTAGCGAGAATACATCACCCTAAAACAATTAAATTTATAAAGATAATATCAATTGCAATAATGGGATTCCTTAAATATAATACAAAGCCTTGGATAATCCTAAATAAAACTAAAAATAGCCCCACTGCATTAGAAAAATTAAAAGTTAATGACCAAAGCGAATCTCTAAAACTTTTTACTTGGCATTCTGCGAAAGCTTTTATTTAGTACACTATACCACAGTAAACGTTAACAAAAATTCACGGATTTATGGACATTTCAATCGTTAGTGGTTGACATATAGACGATTTAATTTCAGATAGACAAAACAATTTACTTACTCTTGCATCGTATGGATAATATGCAGCAAAATTTACTGTATGATCTTAATTGCTTTACTATTCAATAGATGGTCAAAGTATATTTAAACTCAAAATTCAAATATAAAAAGTTTAATTGAACTGATGTCTGCATCATGCGAAGCTAATCTTTATTCGAAAAAACGGCTGGTTTCATGAACTATTACTCGTAGAGCAACAAATATATTTTGAAGCATCAATATATAATATAGCCTTGACAATAATCTAGACAGTCTACAGCTGGCACATTACAAGAGTTACCAATTTCAAATAATTACCTGAAGTCTTTTGTTAGGATCATTTAATCGCATAAATTCTCGATATAAAATTTCCACCCTGTTGGCGTACTGTTTAATTAAGCGCGCACAACTTTCGGGTAAAGGTTTTAAGAAAATCTGCAAAATTCAGAAAAAAAAAATCACTTCTTTGAATAAAGAAATGAATTAGTACTAGTGCTTTTCTAGTGCATTTGAAGTAAAATTTGAAATAAAATTACCAAATAATCAATTTCCAATTCTTTTCTGTTACGTTACAGCAAACAGTCGCATCATTCCTTTATTCTAGGCAATTAACTGTCATAAATTTTTTTTTAATTCGAAGCTTCGAGGTTAAAAAATTTGTCAAGTCCATCATTCTTTCATCTTCGCAGCTACAAATGTATCAAAAAATTATGTAAAATATGAACGCACCTCTGATTCACCTGCTGATGGATAGGAATTCTTGTCATCCGGGTTCCAATTAAGGGGCAGTCGCAAATTAGTGAACAGATGAGCAAAAATAAGGACCAGTTGACTTTTCAATTCCTCTCTTGATACCGTGTTATCACGACACAAGTTGTGAAATACACCATTCTGCAGAAGATGTGCAAAAAGGAGATTACCTGGTTCGTTGCCTGATAAATGGCATACTAGAGAAGCCAAACCGCTCAATTTACCCTGAATGAATAATTTGATCGTTAAAATATTATACCTGAATAAAGTGTGATAATTTCAACTGTTTAATGAGACTATCAACCCATAATTTACCTAAATTTATATGGTGGATAATACCAAATTTATACGATTGTTTCAATCTTAATCTCTCTCATTGCTCAGCACAATAATCAATCGAATTTCAAAGAAAATAAAAAACAAGGAAACAATAGAAATAGAAAAAAATAACGAACATTCTCATTCAATAAATCCAGAGAACGTAACACTTGGACAGCAAAAAGTGTGTACAATCTGAGCTGCTTCTGCACTGTTGATGACAATTCGGCACGTGTATGAAGAATAAAAGAATTTGTCAAGAAAGACAAAACAGTCTAAAAAAAACAAGTGATAAATGTGTGCAATAGTCTAAATATAAAATAAAACAAGCAGTATAATCCTACTTCTTTATTTGGCATAATTTTTAGCTGTCTTCGAAATAAGAGAATTTCTCGCGATTCTCATTCGTTATCTCAGATAGCAAAAGAGGGAAGTTGCTAACAGTTCAAACTACATTATTTTTGACTATAGGATTATCAAAACGCTAATATGATTTTAGTTCACGCAACTACAACTGTAGAATGGAACAGAAACCGTAATAATAATAATAATAAGTAATAATAATAATAAGTACATAATAACACATAAATAATAATAAGTACAATAATAATAATAATAATAATAAGTACATAATAACACATAAAGTAATAATAATAAGTACATAATAACACATAAATGAAACTCACTTGTAATCTTAGCTCAAACGGTGAGAATTTTTGATTTCCTGAACGTAGTTTACCTGGAAAGCAATAAAAATTCATATATAATCAAATGAAAAAAAAAAAAGAAACAAGATATGAAATTTCCTTGAAGTTCGCCACTTGAAAACTAAACTTTTAATGGAAAGTGCTTTATATTGAAGTGCCTTATATTCTCAACAGATATATTTAATACCAAGTGACAAATAATAGGATGTGTCGCTTGGTATTAAGTATATTAAGATGGCCTAGAAGTTAGAATTATGAATTTAAAAAAGAAAGAATTATTTTGTACGACACAGCATGTTTCTATTATTCAATCTGCTGTGAGTGAAAATAAAATATTTGAGTGCGAAGCAGAATATATGCTAATGAAATACATACAGTTTTATAAACGTCAAACTTACTCATCATGCTATCTTCTTGATGTATGTAACCGAAAAGACGTAGGATATAAGATGTTGTAAATGGCAAATTTCCACGCAAAGTTGACAAACTCGCCGTCAATAAGCGCCTTATCTGAAAAAAAAAATAATAATTATAATTGCTTCAGCAAAACTTCGATATTTTTAGAAATTACTTTAATATAAATATAAATACAAATGAGTAAATATACATGTATATGTTTATATTAAAGTAAACCTTTGCAGTTGGTATTGACATAAAAATGACTGAGCCTGAATGATCAAAACCACGACGACCCGCACGTCCAGACATTTGCCGAAACTGCAAAGGTGTCAAATTTGCATCATCAACACCGAAGAGAACAGTTTTACATGGCATGTTGATACCAAGTGCTAACGTTGAAGTCGTAAATAAAATTGCCAAATGACCAGATCTATAAAAGCGAGTGCTTTAAAATTTCAACTTAGGTAATTTATTTGCATTGCTTTTTAGAAAAATGGAATGAAATTATTTCTTATAAAAAGCACAAATCAAAATCCATGATTAAAAGAATAACGAAGTAACCATTTTTACTTTATCAATCCACTAATCACGTTATCAAAATAACCTGAATAAGATTTCAACTGCACCGCGTTCTTTAGCGTTCAAACCGGGATGATGGAAACCAATGCCACGTTCAAAGAGCTTAAATAATAATTTTGTTGTTTCTCGTCCAGATATTCGATCTTTTGTCAATCTTGCAGTAACTTTTTGATACAAATCCACATCACGCTGCCGACCATGCAATTTAAATCTAAATAATCCGAACAGTAATATCAGTTCTAGATTTTCAAATGCACACTAGTATTATCAAGAATCATAGTCCTTACAATTTATAAAACATCCGGATTCCCGTTAAATCCGGCTTTAAGTCGTTTCATTCAAATTACTTCGAGTTGACTCAATCATACAAAAATACTTACAGATGAAATAAAATTAAAAAGGAAAAAATACCTTTCCAAAACCATATCCAACCGCAATCTCATTGCAGCAAGCGGATCGTAATCATCAACAACTTGCTCTTTATGTTCTAGCTCTTCCGTTTCAGCTCTCTCAAACTTATCTACAGCTTTCGACTTTTTTTTCTCCTTTGTTGCTGCAGCATCTCTCTTTCTTTTCATCATTTTCGCTATTTTCTGGAATACAAACCATTTATCGATTATTTTTTATGTATCATGTTGTTGATTTTGGCCTAAAAGACTGATTCTTTTGTGCATACACCAATTCTGCAAAATCTTTCAACATTCGTACGTGTGTTTCAATGACAGACAAATTTAAATTCAAAGTTCTTAGAAATCTCATTACTTCTTCATCTTTTATTTCATATTTTTTGTATTCCGCACTAGCTTCGAATTCCTTTTGCTGCATTTCAAGATAATCGAACAACTGCTGAGCTAATTTTTCGCACATTCGACGATCTTCATTAAAACAAATTGCCGGAAGTAATTCTTTATCACGCAACTCCAAAACTAAAGGAGCAATGCTTTTCATTGCTGCAGCTCGCTAGAAAAAACAGTACTTGGAGAAAAGAAAAATACAGAAACTAAATTTCAACTTAGATACTGCTTCTCATTCCTTATAACCTATTTCACTGAAGCAAATTTTGCACTTAAAATGCAATTTTCTTCACAAATTTCGTATTAGAAGACATAAATAGTCTTCTCAGATATATAACTTCACGTGTTTCCATCTACAAACATCAAAATCTTATAATGTACATCCCGGTAGTTCATTAATATACAGTAAATTAGAAATACATATCCCGCCGAAAAGAAGTTCTCGAAATAGGACATTAAAACGATCTAACAAATATATTTGTACTACGAATTTTTGATTTTCAAATCAAACCTGATCAAATGGTCTGCTCCTAAAGTCTAATTCTTGCTCTACATTTTTACCAATTTGCTGCAAAACTTTATTGGCTCTTTCTGGATTTATTCCAAGCCACTCCAAAAACCGATTTTTTAATGCAACCTCCAAACGTCTAATATCTTCACGTGTAAGCCAAATCTTTTCGCCTCCAAGTTTGTAGTTGAAAAATGAACACGGTTCAAATTCTTCCCTATGCAGAAGTATGTAGAGTTCATTTACAGAGATTTTTAACTGGGATTTAACCAAGAAAAGTGAGAAATTCATAATCATTTAAAAATTATATGCTTTTATAGCTCAAGATATAGAGTGTAAATTTTAGAAGAGAAGATGAGAGGGAAATTTACTTGACTACAGGATCCACTTCGGCGAGAGCATGATATAAATCAAGAATTTGTCTTGCAGTTAACTGCTGATCATCGGGAATGCCGAACATTGACAACTTCACCGGTTTATATACCCCGTACGGCATAAAGTGTTGAACCATTGAATTCATGGCGGTTCCATCAGGAACTGCTGTATCAATTGTCGGATTAATCCGTTGAACAGCAAGTTCCAATTCCGAGTATCTTTCACCATATGTTATTAATTCAACCTGAACACAAGATCAACTGCAAGAAATCTTGATGCCTAAGCATAGGATTGCGGAGAATATCAAAACAACAGAACTTCAAACCTCAATAACGACAAAAACCAATTTCACATTTTAAATTAATTACAGAAGATGTAATGAAAACTTGTCAGAAATCATAAGAAAAAAAAAACGCAAACCTACCTCATTTAAAGGTGCCCATATATTTTTACTTTTCTCAGCGGACTGCAACCACTGATGAAGAACCGTTGCGTTACTGATAGTAGCTGAAAGAGCAAGGAACGGGCATCTAATAAGAAGCAAAAGATGTTCCCAAATATGAGCATCTGGAGAAGCGCTAATGCAATGAACCTGGAAAATTATCAAAAAGAATTTAACCTCGACGTATCACCATATAAGTGTTAGCTATCATGTTATTTTTATTCTTTATCACTTGTTCCACCAATTTTGATGTAGAAAGAAAAAGTTCAAATAGAATTTTATGATTTAAATTTCGAACACAATTTTTGACCGTAAAGACGCAACGCAAAAGCTAGAAAACCATTTACTTCATCAAATATGACGTATTTAATTTTATCGATCATTGCCTGCACAACTGGATTAGTTGACAAAAGCAAATTTTCAAGACACTCCGGAATAGTGACGAGCACCTAAAATTGATCATGACAGTCAGAATTAAAACAAAACAAAAGTGTCAACCCAACAAATCTTCACTAAAGTTTATGCTCACCTTTTGAAACTGTAGTATGTTAAAAATCTACAAAATAAGAATAAAATGGTGATTATCGGCTAATCATCAACCGAAAATATCGGAAATAAAATGAGCACCTGACAATTCATTGGATTCTCGAAATGCTCTAACAAAAGCGTTCCAAAAAGTGCTTTTCCACCAGTTAATGTTTTGTTATGAAAACGAGCGTACACTGAGCCACAAACCTATAATTATTTATGAACAGGAAAAAACTACAAATAATGAATGTACACCAACTTTCAATAAACATATACAGATAAAATGAATTTCAACCAATTAAGTTTATAACAAATACTTGATTCAGAAGTGCCTTGGAGGGCGAAACGTAAACAACCATATCTTCATCACTTTGTCGCAATACACGCTCTATACAGTAATACGATACAAAAGTTTTACCCGCAGAGGTTGGAGCAATTATAACAGCTGAGTGATCTAAAAGTATTTAAAATTATAGGTGTAGACTTGATTCTGATTCTGGGAGCAAATTTGTAACCTTCATTCTTTAATCTTGATAAATGTGAAACAGATCGAATAATTCTTAACATGAATGCAAAAATGTTGAAAGAAGCATGAAACACTAGATACATGACTCATTTTAATTCCAACTGTTCGATATTAAAGATTGTTCGATATTAAAGACATAAAAAACTTCATAAATGAAGCTTACTTTTATCCACAGCATCCAACATACGTCTCTGCCATGCATCTGGTTGGAAACCAGTTACACGATCGTCCTTTTGCGGATCCGACCGAATATCGATAATTTCACCACCGTAAGCTAACTGATAATATATCATATTCATGTTCAATGTTAATCTGCTTTCAGAAAAAGCAGTTGACTTCTTGCTTTTTTCAAATCCAAGCGAAACCCATAAATCAGTGACCTAAAAATGAAAGAAATCATTAGTACGAATATTGCCTGCAGACAATTAAGCAATCATTGCTCGCAAAAATCTGATTGTGAGATATTGTCGTAGTAAAAGAATGAAGTATTTAGGTGCCGAGCTATAGCATAATATGTCTCAAATATCCCATAAAATTCAAAGAAAAGAAGGATTAAGATAATTCCCTGAATAGGGTCAAGAAATATAACTAATTATCTACTGGTCATTTTTGATAAGATTGTTCCTCTATAATTATACAATACGTTAAGAAAAATATTAAAAAAATTTTTTAAAAAAGTCGAAGAAAGCTATAATCACTGCATTTTTCTTAGCTAAAGTCAAACAGTTTCGAAAAAGCGCATACATATTCCTTTTGCTTATCATCCAGGTGTTGCCAATATAGTGTAAAGAGATCCTTCAATTTATTGATTATAGGAACTGCTCGAATCCTTCTCTTCTCCAAGAGATCTTTTCCTTCCAGAGAACTAAAATCTTCTGACATACGCAGCATTTGCTGATAGATACACATAGCTCTAGATGAGCCCAATTCGAGTTTATTCATCAAGTTTTCCAAAATAAACATTGCCTAAAAAGACCAATCTGACATAGAAACAATCCTAAATTTAAATGGTGCAGAAATTTCGTTACAGTTTGAAAGAACTATAACGAAATACTTATTACAGATTGAAAGATATCACATTTTTATCTGCGCTGTTTTATGCCTGCATTAGACTAAAGCACATGGCCGAATATTCTGCATTCTCAGCACTCGGACGCAAAATACTTAGATTCTATCAAGTTAATACTACACTTTTCCACCTTTATTGTTATAGCTATCATCCCAACAATTATTAAAAATTACATTTTTTCCCTGTTGCACTGCGAATCGAACCATCTGCTTTTCATCTTCCGCAAGTTTTTCATTCTTTTTATTCCGATTAGCTTCCAAAATTAATTCTTTTTTCGATTTAACAGCTCCTTTACCTTTTGGTCCTGAAAAAGCTTCACACATATCACTGACTTCCAAATACTCGTCAAACTCTATTTTGCACATCAATAATTTTTGCGAAAAACTTTTTGTAAATCTATTTGAATCTTTCGAATAAATAGTATAATGTTCCAATATCTAAACATGTGCTCCTAAATATTACCCGACAAGCAATAAAAGAAGATCTGTTCCAAATAAAACTGAAAAAGTTTCTATCATTATTTCACCTAGTTTTTCTGATAACCTTTGAATAAAGGTTTATTGCTATAGCACTTAAACAGTGTGAAACAAATTGAAGCTGCCATACAGCTCCTTTTCTCAAAAAGGAATTGAGAATAATTAAAATCGTAGTAAGCATGGATGGAATATTAGAGTGATAATATTTTGATATATATAATACTTTGATATAATAATAATGAAATACAAGTGGTTAAAAAAGAGATTTTCGTACCATTTCCTTTGCCTTTTGGTTGCCACTGCTGTTTCTCTTTCTTTTTATCAGTTTGATCAGTAAATTTTGAAGCAAATCCACGTGGTGTACGTGAAAAATCAACTAGCAAACTAGATCCACGCCCTTCAAGCGATTCAGCGAAGAATTCGTACCTGCATACAGTTATGGATCAAAATTCAATAAACGTTGTAGAAAATCAGCAATTTTCAAAGAAAAAAAAATCAGAAAATTGTATTTTTCTGGAGGTACAGTAATTCTGACCATTTGCTAAGCTTTTGTTTGTTCTTGTTCTTATTCTTCATTCGGTATTCATTATCAATTCGCTCTTCGGGTTTAGTGTAAGGCTCTTCAATAGCATCGAGACGCCATTTAACACGCATCCAAAATTGTTTGAAAGTGGATGTTTCCTTCAATAAAACATTAATTCAGGGCAAATTTAAAAAGATGTCATCAAGTGCAACAAATTTTTAGCATTACTCCAAAAATTCTAATACTGATAGGAAGTATAAAGCATAAAGAGGAAGCATAAAGAAAAAGAAAGAAGAAAATCGAAAAAAAAAACAAAAAATTTATTTAGATCGAAAGCAAATTATTTCTACCATTTCCTGGCTATAATCCGCAAAAGCGCTTAGCATTTCTGGAGCGTATAGATTCAGCAATGCAGAATTAATAGGAAGAAGTGCAGGCTTCTTAGAATCCTCCTCTTTTATAGCCGAATCAAATAAAGCATCATCTATATCGACTTCAAGAGACAGCTCCAGACAAGCTTTTTTATGCAGAGGAGCAAATTCCTGCTGAAGTCGATATGGAAGAACCTAAAAAAAAATATATGTAAAACGAAAAACAAAGTTCTTAAAATTTGGAAAATTAAATTTTGTATTAAGTATTAAAATATTAAGTTTTATAAGTTGATAAGGAGAACTTTTTCAAGATGCACTAGCAGAGGATAAATTTTATTTGCGTAATTTCAAAATAAAAAAAGAAAAAGCAAACTCACTTTCACACCAGAGTTTATAGCATCATATATTCCCGCTATCAAAGGACCGTCCCAAAGATCGATTAATGAGAAAGATAATGGATGCTGCTGTAAAATTTATGCATTAAATTTCACAAGCTTATTGGAGTTTGTAATAAGAAAGTTAAGAGAACATGAAGATGAATTAAAGAAAACATTAAACTCCACTCTTTTTAAAGTTTCTGTTAACATGTGCTGCTATACTACCTTCTACTTTAATGCAAAATCTACAAAATACATATATCCATAAAAGAATATACCTTTATATCAAGTGTATCCAGTAAAGAAGAACAAGAATTAAGCAATGTTCTTCGGAATTTGATAAAATCGATGCCTCTTTTCGAAGCTTTATTTTCTTCAAAATAACGACGCTCTGTTCCACGACGTTCACAAATCAATGAGGAAATAAGTACTGCAGATGTTAATGCATCAGATTCTTTTGGTAAACCACCACTGCAACATACAAATCCCATTTTTATTGGTAACGTTGTTTTCCAGAACACAATTTCTAGTTTAAGTTTCAGCCGAAATGTATGTCTGATATAAGTTCTAAGTAATAGAGATTTCGTTGTCTTACCGTATCTACAAATAAAGTAACCCCAAAATTAAAAAAAAAAATTAAGACTAGCATAATTTCGAGAAATTTAAGATCAACATAACTCTCAATCAAACATTTTTTAAGCATGATTTGTTACAAATAATTAAGATTGGATAAAATGAAGCAACAACCTTTTCTTATTATCTCCAATAATTTGAGCCCATAATTGTGAAACGCTTTTGCAACTTGACAAATTAATATTCCTGTGAACTTCTGAAAGTATTTCTGTAAAAAGTGATACAATGAAGAATTCAGGCTACAAAATAAGTCGGAAAAGAAGAAAAAAAGATAGAACAAACTGTTAAAACAATTAAAACAATATGCCGAGCACCTCATTAATTAAGGACGTTTAAAATATTGTAGAATCTACCAATTTTCACTTCAGTTTCACAATCAATCCTACTCATTTTATTGAAGAATTGATTGCAGAACAAAACTATTTACAATTTGATAAGATTGTCAGTAATACATTAAAACACTAACAAAATAAAATTATCATCAGCAGTTCGAACTACTAATAATTTTACTCTAACCATCTTTTTTTTCAACCCACAGTTGGATTAAATAATCGGTCCATCCTTTGAAATCCACCATGTGCGGTTCAACACGATGACTGTAAACTGAACAAAGATTTACGACGAGGCCATTTAAATACACGACGGGAATAGTTGAACCAAGCGCCTGAAGCGCTATTGAAGCAAGAAATTGTTTGAAACCCAACGCAGTATCTGCCACTACATTTTCTGACACATCATCAACGCCAATCAGCTGGAAAACGCATAAAATTCTTCTGTTTGGAATAGCACTGAACCATAAAGTTCCAGTTGCACAAGGAAATAAGAAAAAATTACTGCGTACCAAAAATGAAGGCATCAACTCGTGCAAGTAAGATAACCAAAGTGAATCACTAGGATTTGCAAAATGATCAACATCTGCTGCCCATTGAGACTGAAGCAAGTAAGCTGCAACGAAACTACGCAGAAAGTTGAGGATCGTATCTTTCACATAGATGGCAGATAAATCCGTGAACCAAATTAATTTGAATTTTCCGCCAAGATTTGAAAGCTGTTTCAATAAAATCTCGATCTGAAAAAAAAAATGTTAGACCTGAACTGGTAGAGTTAAAATATGCTGTAGCTATTTATCCGTGGCTATATGGCACGGATTTATTTGATTATCTGAACAAAGCTTCAAGATTATTAATTAACGATGTCGATAATAGTAATTAACTTAATTTCAGATTACTGACTATCATACAAAACAAAACACAAATTTATGAATTTCTACTTGTTTTGCGATAATGATAGTCTGTCCGCCTAGCGTCCAATTCAAATAACTGTGTGCTGTAAGTTCGATTAATAACCCATCCAGCGATATCAAAAATATTTCTACATCCGCAAATTCGGAGATTATATTATCATACTTTGAATTGAAACGATTTAAGACCTGCAAGGTAAAACATTAGCATATCTCTCCTTAAGACAAAAGAAATAATTAATCGTCTTTCTCCCAGAGAAGAATATCTGAAACCAATTTTAGCCGAAAACAGAAAAGTACTACTATGGAACGCATCTACCAATTTGGACTTAAGACCAACTTGAACAATTTCGTAACTAACTTGACTACGAGAGATCTATTTCAATAAATTTTAGAAATTGAAAAAAACTCAACGGATGGATAAATTTTCAATGCAACTTACTTCAACTAGGTTCACGTCACCTACAGTGAAATCATTAGTAATGATGATGTCGCCAGCTCCCTCATCCTCGCTTTCTGACTCAACATTGATTTTGCTTGAAGTTGATGTAGACATTCCATCCTCAGTCTAGAAATAATAAACGAAAATCAAAAAGTATTGCATTAGAATATCTGACCAAAATGCAATTATAATTATAATCAAAAAATCCTCACATCACTATCGTTATTCTCTTCAATAAAGAGGCCGTTTTCCTCTTCCGGATTGATTGCTATTTTTGATATAGCACTTTTCTTGATTGGAATAGAATCCATTTCGATAAATTTATCCAGATTGTCCCAATTGGACATTGTCTTCAGAAAGATTGCTTTACTACTTATTGATTGACAACTGTTCAACTGTATTGGAATGCAATATGATGAACAAACTGAAATTAAAGGATAGAGGATTTTTGCAGAAATTACGGAAACAATACATAGTCCTCAATACAATCATTTTCAAGATAACATACCGATGTATATTAACTTTTCAGGTCGTTGTTATGTAAATAAAAAAAAACTGTATAGAAAATTTATTTTTATATAATCCATTATAAATCAATAAAATCGATGAAAATTTATTTGAAGAGTTGAAGTGCTACTCTTTGACCTCATCATTTCACACTGTGATTACTGATGAAACGAACTTAGGTATTTCAGGAAAAACGAATCTGACGTCACTGCCCTAATAAAACACTCTCTAACGGACCGACACGTTAAAAAAAGTTACGGATTATGCAATGAATAAGGATCAATTACGTTTGAGTTCTGTTCCGTATTTTTCATTTTTTTAAAGATTCATTTTTGTTTTTTTTTGTGCTTATTATAAACAATGTCATGTACTGATGTCACACAATTTTAAAAAAGTTTTCAGATTTCAGATTTAATCGAAAAAGCGACTTTACGATTTTGAAATTAAATATTCAAATTTATATGTGATACTTGCGTTATTCTTTATTAATAAATTGAACGGGCTATTACAAGAATTTAAGAGGGAATCGAAGTGTTTCCTGTATTATGTCGCGTCCAGAATTTACCGGTCCTCCGGAATTGGTTTGTTAGCTAAAATTCTATATTAGCGACCGAGTTTTTTTTTTTTTTTTTCACAAGCAATTAATTGTAATGAGTGATTTAACGATGTTTGAAATAGAAATATAAAGGAAGATAAATTTATTTCAAATTTTAAAAGATATTTTGAAAGAAATTAATCGTTCAATTAGGTTAAAGTGTAATTATTTGTGTTACATTTTGTTTTTTTAGTATTACAATGATGCTCAAGCTGCTAAATACTCACAGAAGTAAGCTTTTTTTTTTCTAAAGTTTTTATTCGTATTGTTTAATTATATGTATTAACACTGCATTTTTTAATTAATCACACTTGTCCTCTTAATATACGGAAATTTCCAGTTCACATATTATTGAAATTCAAACGCGTATGACGGAACGAGCTATCGAATTGCTTGCTCTTCCGGATGATAATATTCCAAAGTTGTTGCTGGACATTGGATGTGGTTCCGGATTGAGTGGAGAAGTTATCACAGAAATGGGTCATAACTGGATTGGCGTGGATATTAGTGAAGCAATGTTAAGTACGTCCTAAATTTATTTCATATGAAGTATCTTATTCCTTGTGAAATGAATAAAACTCAAATGCTGATATTTTCAAGCTAACAATTTTGATGTCTAATGAGAGAAACTGTTTCAGTGGAAGTCTTTGTGGCAGTTCTAAATTTAGACGATCAGGATTTAAATGTTAATTACTAATCATAATGGTGGCTTTTTGTATTATTAGTGTACGATATTTTGCTAGTTGCAACGAGCAGTTAATACTTTCATCTGAGTATCCATTCATTAAGTAACATAAATTGTAAGCTTCCTTCTTTTGTTACTTCATAGGATTTTAGAAGTTGCCGTTGATGATCGAGAAGTCGATGGTGATGTTGTGTTGAAAGATATGGGCGATGGTTTGCCTTTTAGAGCGGGTACATTTGATGGTGCAATAAGGTAAGTAATGGCTAAGCTTTCCAGATTTTCCGAATTTAATTTATTTGGTTTATTCCAAAATTTAATCAACTGAGTTTAATGTCTGAAATTTTTAATTCTTTTTAGCATATCTGCAATTCAGTGGCTTTGTCATGCAAACACTCGAGAACAGAGCCCACAAAAGCGCTTACTTCATTTCTTCCAGTCATTATACGCTTGCATGGTAAAAATTTAATGGAACTGATTTCTTCCCATTTATATTCCTTTTTTCTCTATTCTTATAAAATGAAAATATATATATGAAACACACTGCATTAAGCATACATTTGTTTTTGAATTAAATAACATTTCAAAAGGCAAAGAGCATTTCAGAGTCGCGGTACCCGTGCTGTATTCCAGTTTTATCCTGAAACCGTTAGTCAAACTGAACTTATAACAACTCAGGCAACAAAAGCAGGTTTTACTGGAGGCGTTGTTATTGATTTTCCTAATAGCGCCAAAGCCAAAAAGTACTTTAATATTTAAATGTTTTTTCCTAACTTTTAGTTGCTGTCAAAAAGTAGTGTTTTGGGAAGCGAATTGTTATCCTTTGTTATTTTTTGTTTGTTCTTAGTAAACTGAATGATTTTTTTAAAGAGTTTATTTGGTGTTGATGGTTGGTGGTATACAACAGTTGCCAAAAGCATTAACTGAAGAGGAAGAAGTGGATCAAGTTTTAAGCATTGGAAGGAGGTAATTTGAAAACTTATTATGAATATTTGCCCTACAAGATTTGAAGATTATGTAAAGAATAGTGCTTCATTTTAGATCAAGAAAAAATGATAAACGAGATAGACGAAAATTACTTAAACGTTCAAGAGAATGGATAGAGGCTAAAAAAGATCGTGCCCGAAAGCACGGGAAGTATGTTTTTTATTATTTCAAATCTTACGATTAGTAGGCTCATAACTATATGAGAATTGTGGAAATTAAAGTTTTTTTTTTTCTAATTACAAAATTTTTAAATTTGTTCAGGAATTTTCATATTTCAGAGATGTTTGTGCGTCTTCGAAATATACAGGTCGGAAAAGGAGACGTTTCACATAAGTCACGCATCAATTCACTTTGATACTTTATTTGTTTATTTTTTTTGCTGTTTCTATTGCGTAAGTGTGATAAAACAACTGAAATATTTTTGTGAAAGACATTCTCTTAGCTTACACCAAAAAGATTTGAAAAATGCTGTGATAATACTAGTTTTCAATTACTTTCTAAATGAGATTGTTTATTTCATCGGGAATCCAATAAAGAAAAGCTAGCCAATAGATAATATTGAATAAAATGTAGAGCGATGGGAAAACAATTTTGGAAGCAGAATCTATTCGATTGACTACATTCGTTGCATTCTTTATTTTCATTTTTTCATTTGCTTCAGTGGCAATTCGATGAAACACTGAAATTTGCATTAATTTTCATATGTGTGTTTCCACTAGCATTTAATAGTTTGTTATTAATTTTTAATCCTTTAACCAGAAATTTTGTTTACTAATTGAAGTTTGTTTACAATTGATCTGATATTACTGTTAATTCTCGAGTAGGTAAGTGTTATTGATCTTTCGATGCAAAAGTATCATCAGTGATAAATGGATAAAAGCAATGAAATATAAATTTCACACCTGAACGCATCTGCTTTGAGGTGAATAAATGCCGCTTTGATTGAAATTTAAAATGTGGAATCCTTGTTCTATGATAAGTAATGGCACTATGTTTCGGTTGCACTAGTGGTGTTGGTAATGTGCATATTTTTGATATCTAGTAAGTGATTTTTTCACTAATTAAATAGCATTTAGTGGAAATAAAGGATTTGAATTGCTCATAAAGCAATCGATAATTTAATTTTTGTGATTGGTTCTGGAAGGACTTAAAATATATTGATGGTTTTTTCAATTTTTTTTTTTTTAAGATTATGGAATTTCACTTTTGAATTTCTCCTACTTCTTAAGTGTTTATCAAATCCTAAAAATGAAAAAGAAAAATGTTAGTAGTTTTACTCATTCCGTATAATATTAAGAAATGGATTCTTCGAATATTTACAAACTGGTCTAAAATTCTTGGAATTTAGGAGGAAAGTGTTACTTTTTTCCGGATGTTAGCTGTATTTACATGATTGATAATAGCATATTCAATCACTGCAGCAAAAACAAATCCGAAACATGAACTGAAAAGCATTTCAAAAGAATCAATTTAAATAATCTGAAGTAAGGAAAAAAATTTTTTTCAATTTTATAATTTACATTTTTTTACACCTACCATGAATGATAACATTTAGTTCCTTACAAAAAATTCTGTATAAAAAAAAAAGAAAAGAAAAAATAGTTAAGAATTTTTGAATGTTTAGAAATTGTCACAAACAATAAAATAATGTTTAAAAAAAAAAAGGGAAAAAAACTGCTCACATAATATAAATATCGAGAGCTGTTGAATGCGAAATTTTTGGTAAATCAGATCGATAACTGAAACCCAATGTTGACACCGAAAGTACTGTCATTATGCCTAAAATTTAGCTATATCTAATAATATCTGTATTAAATTTCAGTAATATTTTATATTAAATTTAATAATATCTAGTAATATTTTATATTAAATTTAATAATATCTAGTAATATCTGTATTAAATTTAATAATATGTTCTAATATCTAAATTATTTACTATTTTGAATGTTATAAAAGATATAAATAATAAATTAAAATGTAAAAATATAATCTAACAAATTATTTTTGTCAACATGATAAAATTTTCATGCAGAATTTGATCAACTATCTAATTTAAATTATTAACAAACTCTATGAATACATAAACAATCGAAATTATTTTCAACAGTAAAAAAAAAAAAAAAACATTTTAAATTATACTTTCAATTATTAAATCAATCGAAATTATTTTCAATAGTAAAAAAAAAAAAAAAAAAAACATTTTAAATTATACTTTCAATTATTAAATCAATCGAAATTATCTTCAATAGTAAAAAAAAAAAAAAAAAACATTTTAAATTATACTTTCAATTATTAAATTTATTTTTGTTATATTTTTTTTTCCTTATCTAAATTTTAGAAAAAAAAAAATTATCTAAATTTTAGAAAAAAAGAAACCTAATGAAACACGTGCTGGCGATGATTCTTTATTAATCCAAAAACTAATCCACGATACAATAACAATTAATGTACACGGAGTATAAATTTGTAATATATAAAAACTTTGTTGTCGCTTAAGCTTAAAGTATACTTTAAGCACTGATATGTCTAAAGTAAAGTAAAACAAAACAAAAAGTAAACAAAAAGGAAAAAAAAAATTAATTTTCTTTTTTTTCAATAAATAAATTATTTGCTTATTTGAAGATATTAATTTTACTTTTATATTTAAATGAACAATTTTTGAATGTTTATAAAAATTTATTTAATAGCTACTAAAAAATTAAATTAGCTCATTAATTAATTATCAGTTAGTTATTTTTTTCTTTTCTTTTAAATGTTTTTTATTTTTTTGTTAGAACTTTTTTCAACAAGTATAGATTCAAAAAAAAAAACATTAAAAAACAGTAATTTAGAAAGAAATTAAATGCATTCATTACATTCATATACCAAAAAAAAAAAAAAAAAATTATTTTTTTAAAATTTACAAAAAAAGTTTAAACTTAATTTTAAACTTACTTAAATTGTTATTTTGTGGAATAGACCAGTTGTGTGATGTTTTAATAATATCAATTAATTGATACTGTGCAAGCATATCACCCATTGCTATGTCTAATTCAACATTTTTCCAAACATAAATAATATCTTTTGAAAAATAACCCAAACTACCAATTTCAATTGGACATGCCTTAAATTTGAATTTTTTTTAACAAAATTTAAATTTAAAAAAAATAGAAAAAAATTTTCAAACCTGATAATCCATTGGAAATTTTTTGAAAAACATTTCACAACGACTTTGTATTGTTAATCTATAAAACCAACAATTAATTAAAATTTTAACAAAAATAAATAAATAAATAAACAAAGAAAATCATTTATCTTTTTTAAAAAATAAAAATTACTTATTGTTAGCAGTTTTATGAATTATAGTTCAGTTAGCTAAATATTATATCTGCTTTTTTTTTTTTTTTTTGATAAGTTTTATAAAATATAATTATGTTTGAAAAATTTTTTCGGCAATTTATTCTGTTACTTACTTATTTTATTTATTTATGTAAAATGCAAAATGCTTATTATTTTATTTTAATAATAAATAAACAATTTAACAATAATAAGTAATTATGCAAATAGAAATTATTAAATAAGCAAAAAAAAAAAAAAAAAAGTTGAAAAAATAAAAATAAAATTAAAACAAACCTTTGTGATATATGAATTTGTCCATCGTAACGAACTCGAAAAAGAATATTTGGTACTGTTAAAGTATGTAAATATGAGTGTCGTCCGTTTCGAATGTAACTGAAATGTTTCACTAATTTATAAATTTTTTTTTCTTTTAAATTTTATTCATTAAAAATTTTTAGTTTAATTAATTTCTTTTTAGCAAATTGTTTCTTTTTTTTTAAGTTATTTAGCTATAATTTAAAAAAAAAAAGAGATTGAAAAGACTTAAAATAAACTAATTTTATTAAATAGCAATGAATATTTGATTTACTAATTTAAATTTCATACAAAATTTTATAATACAAAAAAATATATGAAAATTTCAAAAAATTAAGAATTTTTCAAAATATTTTAATATTTGTTTTAATTTTAAATTGTTTATTAGATTTATCATTTTTATTTTCTTTGTTCTTTTTTTTTGTTGAAAAATAAAATTTAAAAAATTTCTTTTCCATTCTAATTTATTTATAAATTTAAAATGAAATCGAAATACCATACGTATCTGGCTTCCATATATCCTTCAGCATTTTATTAGATATTGGCAAATCCTTGGTTTTATCAAACATTTCAAATGCTAAACGTCGATCCAACCATTTCTGACGGAAATAGCAATCTAATGAGAATTCCTAAAATTAAATTTTTTTTTTTTTTTTTTTGTTTTGTTTACCAAATATGAAATGTTTATTTGATATTAACAAACCATTTTCTGCTCTGATATTGGTCCAATGCTACGCACAGAAATATCAATTTCAACTTGTAATGGTAAGTAAGGATCTAAAAATATTGTTAATTACTTTAAATGATTAAAGTAATTAATTTTACTTTACTTTGACTGATTAAGTAATTAATGATTAAATGTAATAGATGATTAAGGGTTAATTTTATTTTTATTTTAAATGTAATATTTGATTAAAGTAATTATCTGTTGAATGTAATGTATGATTTAAGTAATTATCTGTTAAATATAATATATAATCAAAGTTTCTTCTTTTTTTTTTTACTTTAAGTGTAATATTTGATTAAAAATAATTATTTATTGATTATTACAATTAAAGTTTTAGATAAAAATGAATGTAAATTTGTGTTAGAAAAATAAAAAAGCATAGAATATTGTTTTATTATACATAAACAATTTCAATAAAAGTTTATATCAAATTTTAATAATTTATCCATAAAAAAAAAGATTTCATACAAATGAATTATAAGTACTCAAATAACAAATATTAATTATTTCAATGTGATCCAAAAGAAAAAAAAAATTGCAATTTTTTATTTTAAATTTTTCCTTTTTTTGATATTTTAATGCTAATAAATTAAAAAAATAATAAATAATCCATTATGTATTTTCAATTAATATTATCATTAATGAATTTTAATTAATTAATTAAAGATAACATTTATGCAAAAGATAGAAATACTAATTTGAACCTTCATTAATTGGTCTAAAATGTCGATCATGATTGAAAAGAATTGAATCGAGAATTTGTGTTATATTATAAATTAATGTTTTGTTGGGTGATAAGATATCACCACGGATCAGTCCATTAAAATTACAATATTGAAATATTATAGTGAAAAGAATAAATGTAAAAGATGAAATCATTAAAGAAATTAATTTATCACCTGAAATAAATTTAAATTATATCATTTATCACCTGAAATAAATTTAAATTATATCATTTATCACCTGAAATAAATTTAAATTATATCATTTATCACCTGAAATAAATTTAAATTATATCATTTATCACCTGAAATAAATTTAAATTATATCATTTATCACCTGAAATAAATTTAAATTATATCATTTATCATTTTCATAATAATATACTTCAAATTTTTTACAAAAATATAAAATTAAAGCAATTTAATCTCTGCCATATAAAATATTACTTCAAAAAAAAAAAAAATTCATATAAAAATTAAAAAAATGATAATTTTACATTTGATAAATTAATTAAGTTTAAATAAGCATAAAATAAGCAATTTAATCTCTAAATAAAATAATACTAAAAAAAAGGGAAAGAAAAAAGGAAAAAAAAAATTTATCAAAATGATAAAAATTAGTTTTACTTTTTCCTTTTTTTCTTTCTTTTTTGCATTATTTCTAAAGCTTAAAGAGTATGAATAATTTAATTTACTTTTTTCATTTCTAATTTCTCTATTTCAAATTAATTTAATTTACTAAAATAGAAACTCATTCAACAATTTTATTCATTTCTAATTTCTCTATTTCAATCAACAAATTCTGTCATTCATTTTCTGTCGCATTCAATAAATTATTTGTCACCAATGTCAAATCATTCCTAACTAATTTCATTCTTCAACAAATTCAATTGTTTCAAATCATTCCAAATTTTTTTTTTTTTTTTAAATTGTTCTCAACAAATTTTACAGAATTTTTTTTCTTTCCTTTTTTTTATTTATTTCATTTTTTTTTTTTTTTGCACGATGGGATATTTTTGATTTATTAAAAATATTTTAATTAAAATTAAATATTTTTTGAAATGATAATATTAGCATTAGTTTATTTTCATCAAATCTTTATTTTCTCAAATACTTCCCAATCATAGAAATTATTTTTGTTTATTAATTAGCATAGGAAAAGCTTTCCATCACTTTTATAAATTAAATTTCAAATATAAATTAACAATATATTATACAAAAAATTATATCAACGAAGTGCTTTTTCATATTTTTTTTTCTTTTTATATAATAATTAATTTAAATATGAATGAATAAATTTATTTATGCAAAATTTTTGCTTAAAATTAATTGTGTATAGCTAAGAATTATTTATTTTTAAGTCTTTTATTTATTATATTTATGCTAATTCTTATTTATGCATAATTAGGAAAAGATTTAATTTGTCAAAATTGAATTTAATTAAAATACATTTATAAATTTTATATTTTATTTACAGTTTCTCATTCAGAACAATTTGCTAGTTGAAAAACTTTTTAATAAAAATACAAAACTTTAATAAATAAAGTGCATGTAATCTTATCTTATCTTATCTTATCACTACATTAAATGTAAAGCAATAAAGTAATGATAAAAGAGTGATATATTATCAGTAACAAAGGAAAAAAAAAACTTAACAATGCTGATAAAATTATAAATGTTTACAAAAAAAAAAAAAAAAACAGGGAAAGAAACTTAAAAATAAACAAATGTGAAATATTTTACTTGAAAATATGAGCATAGCATAACTATTAATTATTAAAATTTAAAAAGTTTCAATTTTGTTTTGCAAATTAATTAATTCAAATTAACTACCAAATATTTATTAAATAAATAATAATTACTGAAAATTGCATAACATTTAGCAGCTGAAATGTGACATAACATAACACAAAGTTTTATTTTAGTTTACAATTTTTAAATAAATCAAAAACGAAAATATTTGCTTAGTTTTGCATTTTTAAAATAAATTAAATAACAACAAATATTATTTTAATTTGCATTTTTTAATTAATAAAAAGCTAAAAATATTTCAAATATTTTCAAATAAATTTAATAAAATATATTTGTATTATTATTTTCATTAAAAATATTTCATTTTATTGCATTTTTTTTTAATGTAAAATTGTTATTATCTTTTTTTTTTTAAAAAAAAAAATGTAACTTTTTCAAATTTCATTTTTTACCAAAATTTATTTAAGTTATAATTTAAGAAGAAAAAAAAAAATTTTTAATTTTATTGAAATTCCTTTGAAATTATATCAATCAAAAAAGTTTTTCTTTTTTAAAGCAAAAACCTTTTTTCAAAAGTTTAAAAAAAAAGGAAAAATTTTTTCATTCATTTATAAAAAGTTTTCTGAGAATTTTCAGTTTTTTTTTTTCATCAAATTTATTTACTTTTATTGCATTAATAAAATATTTTAGCGCAATGCGAATTCAAAAGTATTTGTTTAATTAATGATTAAAAGATAAAAGTGATAACACTAATCAGTAGCTTTACAGATATTATTTAATTAATGATAAAAGGGTCAAAGGTTATTAGTGTGAAGTAATTACTAGCATTTACAATAAATTTTTGCTATTATAATAAATATTCCTACCCTAATTGTAAGTTAGTATTTATTTTTAAATTGTTTTCAAATATTTAAAAAAAAAAATGAAAAAAGTTTCTCAAAAAAAATTTTTCTTTCTTTTTAAAAAAATTTTATTAATATTTAGGTAGCAGCACAATTAGAAAAATTATGAATTCTCATTTTTGCAAATTACCAAAATATTATTTTTTTATTATAAAATTATTTTCGTAAACTTTATTTTATTTACTTTTTTTTTGGTGAGAGATAAACAAATAAATAAATATGATTGCGCTAAATATAAAAGAGTTATAAGTATTAATTAGCTGACAACTCGTAAGTAATAATTATTTTAATAAGTAATTTTTATTGATTAAAATTCACAAATGATTCAATGAATTTTTCAATTAAATATTTAAATTAAATAAAAATTAAATGTTTAAAAGTATTAAAATTAAGAAAAAACAAAATGAAAAAACTGAGATATTACTTTTTTTTCCTTTTTTAATTTATAATTTTTTTACGAATTTTTAAAAATTAGTGGAAATACTTATTTTACTACTATGCTCAAAAATTAATTTAATTTTTAAAAAATTTATTTAATTCTATCTCTTTTTTTGGTACTTTTTCCATATTTTTCGTAAATAATTCATTTTACTATGAGTAAATTTACTTTTTACATTATTAAATAATTAATAAAATAAAATTGCTATAAGATAATAAAGAATTAATTTATTACATTTGTAAAATTTAAAAAGTTTTAGTACTAATTGTGCGTTCAAATTTTAAAATTTATTAAATAAATAGCAAAAAAAAGGACAATAATAAACAAAATTTGAAAAAAATGAATAAATAAAAATTAAAAAAAAAAGCAAATTTTACATTTAAAAATTGAATATTTCTTCTTTCTAATCTTTTCTGCTAGTAAAATGATTGTTATAAATTTTAATGGAAATTTTTATTTTTACTAATTTTTTTCTTTTTTTTTTTTAATGCAAACTTTTTGAAAAGAAAAAAAAAAGCAACTTTTAATATAAAATTAGCATAATTTTGCAATTTTATTTTAAGAAAAAAATGTGAAATCAAAAAAATTTAAATTTTAATTTTTAGATTTTCAAAATATTAAATTAATTCCTTTTCACATAAATGAATCAATGATATCACAACGATTTTATCATTTAATTCTAATTATTTTCAACATTTTCTTCATTGCAAGGTTTGTTAATTTTATTTTTTAAATTTAATTTTTATTCAAAGAAAAAAAATTTTTTAATTTCTACTTACTTATTTTTAATTATGCATTGCTTAGTTAAATTTATTTATTCCCAAAATATCTAAAAATAATTGAATTAATTAACTTTTCAAATTTTATATTACATTACTAAATAAATTAATTCTTCACAGTGTAATATATAATATATTTGATAATAAAATAAAATATAAAGAAATTTTTGTTGAAGTAAAATTAATCAAATTTATTAAATATATTTAACATTTTCAAAAATTTTAAAAATATTTTTTTAAAATTGAAGTTTTTTTTCTCTTTTTTTCGTTTCAATTTAAGGTGAAATTGTTGATATTTTAAAAATAATATTAAAACTTTTAAAAATTTAGGTCAGTCAATCATTTATTCGCTTCAAACTGTCCATATTTGCTTAAATACACTGATAATTTCAGCAGAGGTCAACTATTGAATTCCAATAGTTCACGTATTAACGTAAGTGACAGTAGTTTGACACGTACGTCAGCGTACTACAAGAACGCTTCAGCTTTGTTAGCTGACTTACTGAGTGACTACGACATACGACTACGCCCCGGTTTTGGTGGTTAGTGTATTCATGGTAGAATTAATTAATTAACTAATTAATTAGCTAACCAATTGTCTTAATTAGCTATTCTCAACAATAATTCCAATTTATGTATTCTTAAAATGCTCAAAATAATTTCAGTTTGTAATGAAAAATATTAGTTTGTCAACAAATTTGTCACCACTTTGTCACACTGATTATTACTTAATCTAAAATGTTACTTTCTTTTTCTTTTTTATCATTCCTAATGACCACTGCTGGACAGTAAACAACTTTATGTATAAATTAAACAACAAAATATTATTAGCATTGTTGACGAGTTCAATTCATAATTCTATTTTAGATAAAATAACGTAATTAGCAATTAAATAATAGCATAAATTAAAATTTCAATAATTTGAATTAAAATATTAATTAAATTGAAATTTAGAATGAAATAATATTATTTTTTAAATTTAAATTTTTTTAAAATTTAATTGAGGAATGGATATTTTGCTATCGATTTTATAAATAGTCAAATGGGATAAATTATAAAACAAAGCAAAAAATTCTTTTTTTAAAAAAAAAAATTATTTTTTCAAAATATTTTCATAAAATTTTTTTTTAATTCAATAATTTTCTTCTAAGGTGATGCTTTATTATTAACATTGGATATTATCGTTGATTCAATTGATGCAATCTCAGAAGTTAATATGGTTAAGTTTAATATCTTTTGTTTTGTTTTTAAATAAAATTAAATTCGAATGATAGAAATTCTTTTA